ATATTAATGAAGCTTTACACAATTGACTGGGTATCTTTTCGTTAATCACTCACAAACCCATGCCAAACATATATCAAAGACTTCAGCTCCTTTTTCATCCAATCTTCCGACATTTCATTATTATAGTTACCTGATTAATGGATGCAATAATATATGTGGCATGATATGATATGTTCACATTAAATTTTAATCAAATATTACTAAATTCAGAAAACATTAAGTAAATCATGACTGATGAGGCAATATTGCTGTACTGTCGTATTGATGGTTAGAGAAACTCACTATGGAGTTACAGATTAAGGAGGAGAAGTAAATCTTATGAGGAAATAGAAGTATCTCAAGTTTAACTAGTTGGTTCTTTTAAAATTGCCTTCCAGCCAAAGGCTGAATATTAGATCTATCAAAAGTATTCTGGTGTCGGTAACTGATATGAATGCTTTGGGTTTTTATACTGCAAGTCGTCTCATTCTTTAAAATGCATGGATTAACATATACTCTGCACAAGAGCCTTTACCAAAAGATGATGGCCTGTGTAGGGAAAAGAAACATTTTTCCCCACTACAGTTGGGAAAAAATAGCCAGGTTTATTTTAAAACTTGCTCTGATTTGAGGAGGAGGGTGTCAGGCACATGAAATGCACTTGGTCTGTTCATTTTTACCTAAAATACACTTTGGTGGCTTTGCAGGAGGTGTGCAGAGAGACAAATAGGGGTTCATGTTCACAGCCTAGACCTACAAATGTAAGACGGCTTCACTCTGGAACACCAGAGAATGTGCCTGTACTGCTGCAGACAGAAACTTTCTTTTCAGCTTTACACCAGTAGTAAACATGTTCATATGAAAATCTGGTAGTTGTATTTGGCTATAATTCTATATTGCACTTTTAACTTACAGACAGGAAATAAAACACTGAACTGCCTTTTCATTGCTGTGTTTGAAGCTGAGAGAGACCTAATTGTATTAATCCAAGTAGATACATCTCCCATTCTAGTAAAATTTCAGATGGGATCTGCTTATTTTGTCCTGTGTCTGCCTTGAACATCCATGTCCCCACTCCCTTAACTGAAAGATTCAACTTATGATTTTGAGCATTACTCTTTATAACAAACAAGTTATTTACCCAGAGGAAAACTCCATCTCATGAGAGATAGATGACCCTTTGGAAGCTAAATGATCATTTCTAAAAACCAGTACTGAAGGAGTACTAGCTAAAAGACTGCTGCAGGATATCAGACGTTACTGGATCTAATTTTGATTATGTGAAGTAGCATACAAGTCCTGCTTAACTGAATAATTAATTGCATTCACAAATGAATGCATTGCATAGTACTTGCCACAAGACCTTTCCAAAATGCAATTGGGTTCTTCATGTCCTGGTCTCACTTTCAATCCCTTTTCTTGTTTTGAAAGATTACGAGGGGTGTAAGATTGCCTTATATTATGTTTACCAGCATGGGAAATCTCAGTGCTACTGCACTGCAAATAAATACTACTCAATTTTGCAGCTATACTCTGAATATTAAGAGCAATAAATATTTAGCATGCTTAGCTGGATTTTTTTTTTATAACTTGGTTTTTTGCTTGAAGTAATTCCATATAAAGGATTTAAAAGAAAAGCATACAGATAATAAAGGCAGAAAAAGAAATTAAAAGGCTTAAATGGATACAATGAAAATAAGGACCAACTGGGAAGAAGCACGCAGTACTGATGTATCTTGGTAGCTCAGCTGAGCTATTGGTTTATTACTGGTTAGATGTATGGAACAAGAATTTTAGTTAAACATCTTCTTGCTATAAAAGTGGGTTTGGAATTTTTTTAAGTGTAACTAGCTCATAAAACCTAATGTGACTAGTTATGAGAATAATTAAAGCAATTCACTAAGTTATCTTCCTCCATACCCAGATAAGTTTTGTACAGTTACAAGATTAAAAAGCACAAAATTCCTGTGAGTGTAAGGCTTAATAAAAATGGAAGAATACATCCAAACCCACAGCTCTTACCTCAGGCAAACTCCCACTGGTGTTGGCACCTCATGCGATACAGAGAAGAGTGCAGACACTTCAAACAAAATTGCCTGGAAAGGTTTGATTCACTCTCACTTGATTAATTGAATGAGTAGATATAAGTCAGTCTTGCAGCTCTTGCTTTTCTCAGGAATGGAAACATATCAGGAAAAAAAAAGGTTCTCAGTAAATTTTAGATTAGAGCATGATGTTATGGCTCAGGCCTTCAAAATTCTGCAGGCTTCCACTAGAATGTTAACAAGATCCAGCATTTAATGACCCAACGCAGCTTTGTAGTCTGCAGGGTTGTGTCAAATACCAGACCTTTTGTCAGAAATTCAACTTGAAATGGGCCTATTTCTTTTCATAACAGTCTCAGAGAAGAAAAACAAAAGAATCCAGAAAATTTTTGACTGAGCACTCTGGATATGTGATGTTCACTGTATGTTGAAAATGTGTCAGTTTCTAAGGGCAAGGAAAGCAATAATGTACTGTCCATTGAAACACAGCTGTGGAGTTAGGATAAGAGAGCCAATTTAGAGAAAAAGATACAGAATCAATGCTAGTGATGCAAGAATAGATCCTTCACATTCTTTAGCAAAGTAAAGCTGCTAAACAAACCTACTTTTTCCCAAGCTTTTTAAATCTCAAAAACCAAAGCTGAAAGGGTCTTTTACATCTGTGGATAGGGCCAGCTGAGAGAAGCGTTATTCAGTTGCCTGTAGCAGCGTTTAGGAAGGCAGTAACAGAAGCACGGATGCAGCACAGGCTCTTTCAAAGACGAACACGAGTGGAGCAGCAGGTCTGAGCTGAGGAAATAGGGGCAGGCCTGTGGGTTGTAGGTGAGAGGGGATTTGTGGCAAGAGTGGGAAAGTGATGAAAGGGAGTGTGGTGGCTTTGCAACAGACCTGTGTGAGAGAAAATGTATTAAGAAATATTAGGAAGAGAGTTGGGGCAATGAGCATACGTGAAAAACATGGAAACCCTCACATTTTGACTTCTCATCACTTTCAGATGGCCAGTTCTTTTTGATCCTATTTTTTATGCCAAAAATATATCAGCCCTACTCAATCTAAAAGAAAAAGTTGGTATATCAATTGCATGTCATTATACTCTCACAAAATACTGAAAACAGGAAGGCTGCTGCTCAGCTTAATACTGAGGGCTTATGAACACAAATACAGTTTTCCTGGTGTCTTACACCTGGACAAAGTAATGCGAAGGAATACTACTTAACCTTTCACCATTCCCACCAACTCCTTTAACTAAATTAGTTGTTCTGAGCAAAGAAATCACACTATAAATATAATTAGTTACTTGGAACCTGATCTAACGCCTAATGAAATCAGCATAAGGCTTACAGAGAGAATGAGCTATAAAGAAAATATTAGTTTGATTGCTGTGGGCAAAACTACTTTCAGATCTAAGCAGAGGATTTAACTATTTTATTCTGCAAGCAATGAGAAAATATCTTCTTGATTCTAAAACTAAAATAAGAGACCTAATTAATTCTAGAACACCACAGCCATATACATTACATCTTAGTATGCATGAATCCAATAGTTTCTTTTTTAAACAGGAATATTTAAGAGGCATTTAAGTGATTGTGGATCCTCATTTCAGTAAACACATGTGAAGGCATTCATTGTGTTTAAATATAATAAATACAGCTAAAATCATGCATCTGGGTCAATCCTCTGCATGTAATCAGGATTATGAAAATTTAGTTTCTCTCATCTTTCTCAATAAATGGTCTATGTACAGATGACTGGAAATTTATTCAGACATGGTCTTGCTATGTTCTTGTTTTTTAACCCACCAGTTTTTCCCTCCCTACAAATGTGACTGATTTCAAATTCTGTCAGTTTCTCTGGTAGCTAAGAAAAGTGCCAAACTGTGGTTGCTGATTTCTAAGCTGTGCTCAAGTTCTTTCAGAGACAAAATCTCATGCCAAGGCATTGTAATTGCAAGTTTTAAGCACATTTTAATGACTTACTCTATCCGTTCTTACTGCTGACCACATGTCATTACAAAGGAAAAGGTCACTGAACACCTTGAGAAGGCAAAATCCAAATAGACACAAAAGGGCTAAAAGCGACTGGAAAAGGTTTTGATTTAGTTTACACCTTCTCCAAGATTTCACTGTCCTGAACCTCCCAATCCTCTGACTGAGGCTCCTTCAGCCCCGGTTGTCAAAGCCCTCCTTCACCCACTGCCTTGCCCACAGCTCCTCTCAGGCGTTCCCCAGAGGCAACCCAAAGAGACATAGCACATGCAAGGGGAAATCCTAAAATCTGGTTATTTTGAAAAATCTGACAAATGGAAGGAGGCCATCAGTTTGATGGCTCTGTACATGTGTGGTGGGAAAAACATTGTCAGAGGCATAGGGGAATCCCTTTTGTTTAAAAAGTGCTTCTTCAAAGAAACAGACATCCCTATCTCTCTTTGAGGAAGGCACTGTGTGGGAGGCTCTGTGGGCCCTCCTACAATGCCATGACTGAGAAGCCTGTCTTTAACTGGAGCTTCACTGAAAATGCACAGTCCAGATAAAATGCAAAGACACAAAGAGTAAATAAAGAAGTAGTCAATGCTAAGCAAAGTGTGGGCCGAGGAATTCTGCCTCCTAAGGAGGTGACAGTCAAATGAAGCTAGCTCATCATGTGTGTCAAAAGCAGCACCAGACAGGTAAATAGCAATTCTACACTTCCCTCCTACTCTAAAATTCCACCCTTAAAACACAGGGTATTTCAGGAAGCTTCCTGCTGACAGGCACATCCTGCCCAGGATTACATTTTAATAGTTCTACTTTTACACAAACATTTAATTTATACTTATAGTCAACATGCTATTCCCATGCAGTCCCTCGGGAGGAGCAAAACATGCAAAACACAGAAAGGGTGGTAATGAAAAGGAATAATCAATCTGCATTAATTGATAAACTTGCAGATAATGTAGTAGACTACTTACTATGGTTTTGTTTTTTTCCAGAGGGCAACTTTTTATCTTTTGGATCAACTCTGTAGACTCTGACAGAAAACAGTAGCCATTATCAGTCCAGCGCAGCAGAGGTTGGCACATCATCTGGAATGAATATGTGACATTCAGCACTCCAAGATCATGGTATTTTAGACAAAAATCCATAAAATGACCCAAGACTATTTTCTAAGTAAATAAAAACTTCCATATAAATTTAGATTTTTTTTTAAGTACCAATAACACCATTATATCACATTAAAGCTAATTTCACAAAGATGATGTTACAGGTTTTACTTGCTTTCTGCAGTCACTTCAGGACATGATGCTTCTTGAAGGACCAGGGGACAATTATGTTTTCATTTTGCTAAAGCCAAAAAGTACTACCTATCCACACACTGGCTTGACTCAACAACACAGCCCCTAACACCTTTATTCTGTTGATACAATATCCCTTAATCCTTTAGCTCCCATTCCACAAGTGGTAAATTGGCCCAGCATCTTACTCCTTTTTCCATGGAAGACAATGTGTCTTGAAATGAACATTGACTGTCTCTTAAAACCTAATAAATTAAATTGTCTTTCCTTAGCCAGCAGCAGGAGTAATGGAAAACATTTCTCAGAACTAGTTTGTTTAATTTCTACAAAATGTTTGACCTAATGATCTGTTTTAGCAAATTGGTATAACTTACTGATAAGCATACAGCAAAAACCAGCTATGCAATTACCTGTCACAAGTCAAATATTTTATACAAAATTAAAAATTATACACAAACAGATCAGGAATACAGTTTGAATAAATAAATAAATTAAACTCTGCAGTTCCATCACAATAGATGAAAAAAGGTAGTAAAGGTGCTAGAAATAACAGCTTGACAGTATGCAATTTAACTGCCAGGGTATTGAAAATCTCATCCTACATAGTATTTAACAAGATCATCAACAACTGCCTCTGGATTTATGCAGTATAGAAAAGGATAATCATCTAGCTAAGCATAAGATCTGACATTTGGATGCAAGAAAATCAGTAAACTGTGACACGTTAAATTCAGCATAATTTCATTAACAACTGAGCAACCAAGTTTTGTGCAAATATAAAGACCTTTGGCAAACTTTTTCCTTTGTAGCACTACCAGAAGTGAGAGAAAAGGCCAAGCTGCAGAGGGCTAAGGATTAGAGAAGGGCTTGTCACTGTGAAGAGGTACAGTGACCAAGTGGAATGGTCAAATGGGTACTATAATGCTAAAGATAACACCTAAATATTACTTTTTCCTGAACTAAAAGGAAGGGAAACACAATGGTTCAGTACAATGAAACAATTCAATTTTATCGTCTCGTGTCTGAGTGTAAGTGCTGACAGTGAAGCGCCAGCTACCCTTTCTCCCTCACCCAGGCCAACCTATACCTGTAACAACTGATACAGGACAACTTCACCTATCTCCTATTCAACCAACGGGCTCTAGATCAAAACCCCTCTGGACTACACCGGATCTGACTTGCTGATACATAATGAAACAAAGTGATAGATAAAGTCTTGCAAATGAAAATGGGAATAGCAAGGTGTCTTTGGGAAGCTCCTTGCCAGAAGAGACTATCTTGTCTAACCACGTATGTTAGAAGGTAAACTCCCCCCAGCACTCCCATGCTCAGAGCTAGTCCCCACTGCACAGGCACAGTTGAGAGCTGTGCCATATCAGTCCGTGTGGGCTCCCTCACAGACCCACAGACGCGTCTGAGGATCACAGCTACAAAGGGCACAAAGTGAACTCTGGATTTTATTTACTTGCTGCTAATTAGCTTTTTCACTTATCTGCTGGATGTCTCAGCTTCAGCCCTACCTTCTTTTGTCTCTCCCTATTTTTCTTGCTTTCTTTCCCCTTTCAGATTATTATATGAACTCATGCCACCCTTTGTTCCACCCAACAAAGTTGCACACAATCCCTCTAGCACACTTTTCTTCTCTGGTCTTCTCAAAGCATAAAGTTGTGTGGGCCATGGCTCTCACCACGTTCAGTGCTCTCCCTCACTGGTCCCTCTCAAGGCAGTGTATTTTGAATAATTAATCACAGAATCCTTGAGGCTTGAAAAGATCAAGTTCAACATCCTTATGGGAGGAAACAGCGGAGCAGGCATTCATCTCCTCACTCCTGTGACCACTGACAGGACTCAGAAAACAGCATAAAGCTGTGTCAGAGAGGTTTAGGTTGGATGTCAGGAGGTTCTTCCCCCAGAGGGTGGTCGGGCACTGGAACAGCCCCTCAGGGAAGCGGTCACGGCCCCACGGCTGGCAGAGCTCAAGGAGCACTCGGACAACGCCCTCAGGCACATGGTGTGGCTCTCAGGGAATCCTGTGCAGGGCCTGGAATTGGACTCGATGATCCTGATGGGTCCTTTTCCTTTTTTCTTCACCATTTTAGGGAAGCAATTTTAGAGAAGCAAATGTGGTGATGTTTTCCTCTATCTTTCCTCACGCCGGCTGACCGGCACACCCTTACGGGAAGGGTGAGCGAATCCCTCTCCGCCCATTTCCCCACCGACTCCTCCCTCCGCCCTCAGCGCGGCAGCGCGCGCGGCGCCCGTTGCCGCGGCGACGCGGCCCCGAAGTCTCGCGAGGCGGCGCTCCGCTCTCGCGGGCAGGGCGGAAGCGGCCGCCGTGTTTACAACCCGCGCCGCGCCGGGCCGGGCCGGGCCGGGGGCACCGGCGAGCGCCCCCCGCCCATGTGCCCGCAGCCCCCGCCGCCCATGGAAGTTATGGAGGGGCCCCTCAACCTGGTGAGCGCGGGGAGTGGAGGGGAAGGGGGGCGCGTCGGGTCAGCCGGTGCCACCGCCGCTCAGACAGCGGGGAGAGGGTGACACCCCTCGGCTCCTGCCCCCGGGTAAGCAGGTGGAGAGGCGCGACCTGAACAGAAAAAGGGGCTCTTGCCGCCCTTCTGTCCCCACAAACGCCTGTTCAGGTCTCGTGTCAGGCCCTGCCCGGCCGGGAGCGGGGCCCAGCGGCATTCCCGGGCCGGAGGCGGCTCCGGGAGGGACGGAGGGAGGCAGGAGGGGTGCGCTGTGCGCTGTCCGCTCCCGCCGGGCCCGGAGCGCGGCCCGCGGGCAGCGCCGGGGGTGCGCGTCGTGCCGTGCTTACACCGGAGCGTGTGTGGGGACATTGCGTTCCAAAAGCGAGGGACCAGGGCACTTCGGGAAGGAAACGTTTAGATGACATATCCATGAGAGTTTCAAGAGTTTTAGAGGCTTGTCAGGGCCTAGGATTGGCTAAGTGCTTCCTTTAATTTCAGAAGGTAAAATACTTTAAAACCTTGAAATCAGGAATTGTTCTGCTTAAAGTAAATTTCTAAGGAATCTGAATTAAAACACAGACGGTCTAAAAAATGCTTCTTCACAAAAGCTAAGCAGATGTTAAACGGTCTAAATTGGCAGGTAAGTCCCATAGATAAGATCTAGGTCAAGAAGAGTTAATTCTCTGCTGCCTTGTGGGTTTTACCAAAGCTGTATCTTGGCTATGTCGTGATACACAGAGCATGCCCTTAGAAAACAAGTTTTGGTCCAGCAGTCCAGTTAGCCAGAGACAGCACAGCTGTATTGCTTCCAGGAATGAGTTTGATCCAGGAATTGTTCAGACATTGCCATGCAAACCTCAGAGACTTGTTTCAGTTTAGGTTTTAATCAAAGCTTATTTATGCCAGGATGGTGTCAGCCCTGACAAATCATTGCCTGCAGAGTCAATCAGGTATTTCTAGGTTGCTCTGCCTAGTTTCAAAAAGACTTGTACAACTGTCATTGCAGACCACCTATGGAATTAGGGCTGACAGTGTACTAGGAAGATGGTCTATTTACATCTGTAGATTCTGCAATGGTGCAGAACCACTCTGGGTATGTCAGCATCATTCTGACTCACAATTTATTCTGTCTACTGAAAGACTACTTGAAATGTGGAACAACAGGAAACAGGAAAGCTCTTGTAACCTGTTGAACATGGGGTTAAAGTCAGGCAAACATAAAGCATGGTAAAACAGGAGGGCTAAACTATAGCTATCTCACAGACATTGTGAAAACCTTTTTAAAAAGTAGATATAGTACGTAAGATTCAAAATAGAAAATTATAATTGTATATTCACTAGTAAATGTCTGAAAGTAGCAACTTTTTTGGCAATATCACCAGTCAGTAATGTCTCTTACTGAGGCCATTTAGAGATGGTAGGAGTGACACAACTGTGACTAAAGCCTGGTTTATGACCTTGGAACCACAATTGGAGTGTGCAGTTGCCATGCCTGTCTAGCACCAGGCTGACAATAAGGTCAAGACACTTCTGTGTAATGGATGATACAGGAAAAAGAGTTGCTTTACATGCTTTCATACACAAAATTATGAATTTGCCTGTGAATATGTTTCTACTGCCTGAGAGTGTCGTGAAGTACAAAAGCTTTTCTTGAAGCTGCTGTGCAGTATAGTCATGGATCATCATATACAGGAGAGTGACATGTCCATTGAGGCTGTGTCAAGCACCATGGAAACTTCTCACGATAAGAGGGTTGAACAGGTACAGTACCATGGTTAGAACATTACAAGGACATGAACAGGAAGGAGGAACTACAATTCTGCAGAGCTCTTCTGTTCACAGCCCCTCTCTGCTGTGGAGCTTCAGATTGACAACATCATTCAGGGAAGGTGCCAACCTCCAAAATAACAATGTTCATTTAAGTTTTTGATACTATCTGGTGTTACCTATTGCACTCTTCTCTTACCTAAATCTAGTTCCAGTGAATTGAAAAAGCGCAACTTTCTCAAAATGTGCCAATGAGGAAAATAAAGCTACCAAAAGAAAAGGAAAACCAACCAGAGCCTCCAAATCACCCAGCACCTAAACTACAAAAGTGATTTTGGATACAGCAATCATTAGTCTTACTTAACTGCTATCAGTGGTTTAAATACAAGATCTTTTCCCTCTTCCAATACATCGTGACTTGACAATTTTCACAAAACTGATTTTTCATCAGTTCAGGCTATTCATTACGATTTACCACAGTACTTGAATCTTGCTTTGTCTTGTAAAAAATGTCCATTAATAGTGGATCATCTAGTCTTAGTTACTGGAAAGCATGGATATTGTCTTGATTTTCATAGCCACTTGATCTGACCACAAAAAAACCCAAACAAACACAACAACAACCAAACAAAAAAACACACCCCACCCCTTACACTTTAATGCCATATCTCATATTCTCCTGGCTTCAATTATGCTCTTTTTCTGAAACTTCTGAAAGATACATTTCCCTAAAATAATATTTTATCTTTATGGAACTGAGTCTTCTTCAGCCTCATGCAAAAATTTTTTAGGTTATGCTGTGAAACTTAAAACCAGCATGAAGTAAATGGAGTCCCTGCACCAGCAGGTAGCTATATAGAAGGTACCTAGCCCAGCTGGTTACTTATTTCACACAATCTAGACCAAAAACATCTCAGCATTCTTTTTACAAATTAAAACTTACACTGTAAAAGCATGAAGATAAGTGTTCTACGAACACTGCATGTTTTTACAGCACATCTTGAGGGGATTTTCTGTTCTGCTTGCTATAGGGGCACTTCCTACTGCCACCTGATTTAGGCAAAGAATTTTGATCTCACATCCAGCCATAATTTTACTCTTAGGTGTAGGAGCAAAAGTTACAAGTTAAGAAGCACAACCACACACTGCTGACCATCAGAAGCTTGGAAGTAACACAGTAAAAGTGAAGCAAATAGTATTGCCCTCAGGAAGAGGCTAGAAATTGCTCTTTAAACAGAGTTTGGCACCCAGGACTTCATAATTCTGCATATTCTGCTTTCACAGCTTGGTATTGTCCTGTAGCTGAGGAGCTATGCCACCTCTACCTTGTATTCTTCCTGCAAGGTGGTAGTATTTGTATGGTTTATAATAAAATACAGTCAAAAATCTGATTGATATCTATCACCTATTAAGTTTCCTGAAGCATAAAGGACCCAGCTTGAAGGCTGCTGTTTTAGTGAAAACCAGAAGGCATGGACCAATAGCTGGAGTGAGAATAGCACAAAGTGTGTATTCCAAGAATCTCATATAATGAAAGCTTTTAATATTAATGCTGCTTGCCATCAGTAGCAGCCATTCCAGTGCAAGCCAATCAATGGTTTACTTTAATGAATTATTTCAAAGTGAAGTAATACTACATCCACACAAAGGTAAAATAACAAGCAGAATAAATATGCAGTATGGAAGTGTAGGAAGAGAAAATGGAAAACATCTACGGAAGTTCACTAGAGACCAAACAATTTAAACCACACATGTTAATGTGTTTGAGACTTAATGCCAGCCTGCACTTTGTCATTTTCATTGGAAAACCATGAATATTATGTTAATCTACAGAAACATCCATGGAACCCCATTTGTTTTCTTTGATTTTTTTTTTTTCAATCTTAACCTGACAGCTGCTATACTTGGTCTTCCAGTGTGAAATGAAACCAAAAAAAGGCAGATGCACTCAAAAGAAGTCCAATTACAGAGAACAAGCTTGTAAGGTAACAAAAGGGGAAGTATCACTAGACAGACATACTTCATACAAAGTCTGTTTTTACCACAGTGGTGGAAGAACCAAAAGATATGAATCCAGAGACGCAGCAGCATATCTGAATAAAGTGGCTGGAGGTGCATAAAGAGGTCAGTCAGATCTGTAATAGCCACCTTGGAAAAGCTGGACGATGTTTTGTGCAGGCATGTAACTGCTGTGAGAGCACAACACACAACTGTTCCTTGTGGCACATAAAACAACTTGCAGCAGCTCCCAGTCAAGGACATGATTAGCTAAGCAATGGGTGGCTGACAGGTGTTATTTCCTCAGTGTACCTGTGCTGTTTGGGTACCTACCAGCAGTGCCTTTCTGCTGTGTCACACTGGCATTACATGCCTGTCATTGAGCCACAGAGTTCAGCTCTGAGTAAGCATGACCAGCAGTTTAAAGACCCATATGAAGCCATCTCAGAGAAGCCTGGTGAGACAGACTGAAGGCCCAGCTGAAGCCTTTCTGCCCCACTTGTTTTGAAAGTTGCTCTTGGAAGCTTGTTTACTGGACAATTGTTTGTAATGGTTCAGATGCTCCTATTGAGAGGTGGCTCAGTTGCTGTAACAGCTTGAGCCTTGTGGTTTAGGGCTACATACAGAAGCCCAGACTGGTTTTGTTTATCAGGGCAGTGGAACACTTCTCACTTATCTTTGTAACCTTCAGTTAGCAAGACTTGTGTAGTACCACTGTGGCACATCATATATGGGGACAAGAACACAGCCAAAGCAGCTGAGAGCTGTAGGCACCTGGGGAGGTGGTGGAGTCACTGTCCCTGGATAAGGGAAGACCAGGCATGACAC